GTTCTTTCAGATGTCCCTACCCTAATAAACCTCGCTATTTTGCTTTCTACTACTCTCTGTCTTACACCTGAATTCTTTCTTGCGTGAAGACAAGGACCCTTTGCTTCTCCGGTAACAATTTTGCTGTAGTATTAGCCAGTTCTGTTCTTTTGAATATCAATGCATATTTAATGTTCAAAAATTTTGAAGTAAAATCTTGCTCCCTTGTCGTCCCTTCACCCAGTTCCTCCTGCTGCAGCCTCTTGATGGTCACTTTGGTTAGTTTCTGACATGACCTTCAAAATGTTTTCTTTTCTTTTGCTTTATTTTACTTATTTGAAAGTTAGAGAGAGAGAGAGAGAGAGAGATTGTGGGGAGCAACTCGGACTAGACTAAGTTACTGGAATTAAGACTTATTCTATGCATCTGCTCTCCCACAATATGGTGCTGGGAGAGGAGGAAACAGCTTCTACGCAGCTGCCTCTTGCCAACTTGAGTGATGACCTCCAGGAGCTGATCCTGCTCCTGATTGGAGGAGAGCAGCGTACTCGGCATGTGGGCAGCCGAGTTAGGATTGGCGGAGGAGGACTATAAAGGAGGAGAGAGACGGCATGCACCAGGAACATCTAAGGGAAACACCTGTGCAGCCCCCGAGAGAGCCGGCCGGCGGTGTGCCGCTCCCCCGCGGAAGTGGGGAATGTGGCAGGGGGAACCGCCCTTCCACGGAGGTGGAAGGGATGGTAGCCAACCCGGGAAGGACCAGCAGCAAACCCGGGGAGGGCCGAGCAGACGAAAGAACAGCGCAGGGTCCTGTGTCGTTCCTCCAGGAAGAGGGGGAGCGACATAATGGTGCCGTGACTCGGATATGAAGCCTAGGCAGGGTTCAGTGTCGTTCCTCCATGAAGAGGGGGAGCGACAAGAGATAAAGAGAGGAAGGTCTCCCATCAACTGGTTCATTCCCAAATGGCCGAAATAGCCCAGGCTGAAGCCAGGAGTCAGGAGCTTCTTCTGAGTCTCCCACATAGTTCCAGGGGCCCAAGCGCTTGGGCCATTCTCTGCTGCCTTCCCAGGCCATTAGCAGGGAGCTGGATCCTAAGTGCAGCAGCCAGGACTGGAACTGGTGCCCATATGGGATACCTGTGCTTTAGGCAGTAGCTTAACCTGCTGCAACAGAACGCTGGCCCCCTTCAAGAGGTTTTTCAAAATATGAATATAAGCAAATATAAATATATTCCCATTTTTCTCAATTTTTTTGTTCTGGGAGATTTTTTTTTCTAACAGTATTATCAGTATTACAGAGCTTTCCCCTTTTTCTTTTAAAGCTGTATTGTGTTGGGCCAGTGCCGTGGCGCACTAGGTTAATCCCCCGCTTGCGGCGCCAGCATCCCATATGGGCGCCGGGTTCTGTCCCAGTTGCTCCTCTTCTAGTCCAGCTCTCTGCCGAGGCCCAGGAAAGCAGTGGAGGATGGCCCAAGTGCTTGGGCCCTGCACCTGCATGGGAGACCAGGGGGAGGCACCTGGCTCCTGGCTTCAGATCAGTGCAGTGCCGGCTGTAGTGTTCATTGGCGGGGTGAACCATCGGATGGAAGACCTTTCTGTCTCTCTCTCACTGTCTGTAACTCTACCTGTCAAATAAATAAATTAAAAAAAAAATCTTTAAAAAAAAAAGCTGTATGGTGTTAAAGTGATGCCTTTGAAATACAAGTCTGGGCATGACTTCCTCGCTTCCCTCTTTTAAAATAGAGATCGTTCTTACATTTTATTCCTTATGTCAGGCATCACCATTAACAAAGAACCATCCTTTTTTTTCTTGAGCATTATTGATGTTTTTTATGTACTTGAATTTTAGTATCTATGATTAACGTTTATGTTTGGCTTTCAGATAGTGATCATGAGGGCGGAGGGGTGTTGAGACCTGGACACATTCAGATACTTCTAATGGAAGTATAAATTTGTATGGACATGTTGAAAACAGTTTAGCTTGGGATCCATTAGGAACTTGTAAATTGTGTGTGCCCTGTGACGCCTGGGTTTCATTTATCATGCTTTGACCTAAAATAATATTGAGATGCAGAATTTATAAATAAAGATGTGGCTATGATATTAATGTGACACCCCCCCCCCATTCGTATGTTGAAACCTAATGACCAATGTGGTGGTTGTAGGAGGTGGGCTGTTGGCAAGTGATTTGGTCGTGAGGACACAGCTCTTATGAGTGGGACTGGTTCCCTGTGAGAGTCCCCAGAGAGCTGCCTTTTTTGTCATGGGAGGACAGAGCAAGAAGGTACCATCTATGAACCTGGAAACAAGCTCTCACTATTCACTCCATCTGTCAGCGCCTTGACCTTGGACATCCCAGCCTTTCGAACCGTGGAGAAGCCCCTTTCTCTTATTCATACTGCCTGGTTTATGGTATTTTGCTAAAGCAGCCTGAGTGGCCTTTACAGATATTTTCTACATAATGTTACATCTGGTAGCAAAAGTCAAAAGGATGCTAAATGTCCAGTGGCACAGTGACAGTTAACTGTACATCTACATGATGAGGGTTTTGGACCGATAATAAAATTTATGCTTTTGAAAAATGTTTAATGATTAGGATGGTGCTCATGATGCATTGTTAATTAAAAGGGCAGGATGCAGTTATTTTTATCAGGTGTTATCCTGTGAAAGGAAAGGAAGGGGATTATGTTCCGCAATAAATTGTGTGGTGGGTGTGCATGTGTGTGCGCATTTACGGGTATAGGGCAGGGGTTGGGGAAGTAAGGAAGTTGTGTATGTGTCTTGGCTGTATCCCAGCATTGAGAATGTGTGAGTTTTATAAGTAGCCCTGTTTTGAGGTTCAGGTAGATGATTGATTGAGAAGTGTGTGTGTGAGTGTGTGCAAACACATTGAGAAACAAGGTTTGAGTATGTGCTGGTTTCATTTTTTGATCATTATCATGGAAATGCACTGGATATAGAGAGGTGTACATGAACAGAAAGGCTAGGCCTGTTTCTCAACGTGGTTGCCTGGGTAGTAGAATTATAGGCCACTGTTTGTTTTATGATTTCCAGACTTTTACAAATGCAAATCCTGTTTTTATACTCAAAGAAGCTTGGTCATGAAGAGATTGTGCTGTGCTAAGAAGTGTTTATGTTCTTTAAGGGCAGTGGCAGGGCAGGGGGTTGGATTTTAAACAGGAAAATGACATAATTATTTTCACAGGAACACACAGCAGCTGCAGGACTTCGTTCAAAACAAGTAAACACAGGTATGTGTGTACTCCAGTGGTTGAGACACCTGTGTCCCATATCGGGGTCTGGGTTCCATTAGCATCTCCAGCTCCTGCTCTAGCTTCCTGCTCACGCAGACCCTGGCAAGCACAGTGATGCCCAAGGAGTTGGGTCCCTGCTACCCACATGGCAGATCTGGATTGACTTCATAGTTCCAGCCTTGAGAGCATTTGTGGAATGAACCAGTGGGTGGGAGATTCTCTCTCTCTTTCTCTCTGCCTCTTAAGTAAAATTTTAAGAAGAGAAAGAAAAAGAAAGCCCAGGTCATCACTTTTGACCTCAGTTTCCTCATCTGTGAAGCAAGAACAAGAACCTTCGCCCTGTAGGGCAGTTTTAAGTAATGTATCTGTTGTGGGCTAGGTTGGGCCTAAATTCCTATTCCAGACTCTTGTCTTTTACTTAGAGAAGAATTCTAAGTACAGGCACAAAGACAACTCGCAGCGTGTTGGTTTATTTACAGAGCGAGAATACACAGGAACATGAGGGCTTTATATAGGGAAGGTTGGCCAGGAAGGGTAAAGAGGGACTTCCACACCCTGCTTGCTAGGGTCCACGACGGGGGAGGGGAGAGAGAGAGAGAGAGACAGAGAGACAGAAAAGAGAGAAGGGGAACCCATTCCCCTTTACCAGGCTTCTTATGAGCCTAGAAAAGGGGAGTGGTTACATAGTACTGATCCCAGGTCCGAGGTAAGGGGAGGAACATCCTGGGGAAGTGGCCATCTGACAGGTAGGTGGATAGGATTACCTGGGGGTGGAGGGAGGTGTGGTCTCCAGTCCATGAACTTAATCTATCTCCCTGACTTACCCCACATCATAGCCATGTCTGTGAAACTGTGTATTAGAGACAGGGGAAAGCTTTTTCAGAAATTAGAAATGGCTTACTTCAAGAAATTGAGATAACCCCGTTATCAATTTGGATTTATAACTATACATTCTCTCATCTTAAAATATCATGGAACCTGGCATATTTTGCCAGCATTCTATTTTTGTCTACACCAGTCACGCCCATAGACTTCAGCCCTGTTGTGATCAGAATCACTTTGCTTACAATAAGCAGGTGGCCGATTTCCAAGTTCAGGGACAGAGACGTTGTGGGGCGGGGATTGTGGGGGCCATCAGTACGTGAGAGTTTGTTCTTCAAGCATTTTATTTCCCTTGACGGGGGTGAGGGAGGGTCTAATGGCTGCTAGGTCTTCTCCCAGGACATTATAAACCACTTCACCACTTCAGTTTTGTTATGTATGTAGAGTTCTGAAAATCACATAGAAAGGGCAAGCTTCGTTTCTTATGTTTTACATGCCGTTGAAGACGCTGAACATTATCCCACCTAAATTAGTTGAGGCATTGCCCTTAAATTAAGGAGGTGGGAACATTTTGAAGACCTGCACAGGCGTCGGCAGCTCCTCTAGCGCACCCCTGACCCCTAGTGACTGAAGAAGGAAACGAGAAGAGCAGAGGAATAAAAAGGGTTAAGGAACAAGAGTTCAAAGGCAGATGGAGCTGGTGGTTTACTCTCACCTTAGAGAACATTTTCCTCTTGCGAATTGATGAAAGGATGCTTTCATGATCGTGGTTAGAGCCGTGGAATATCGGCAGGAGGCTGCTGCGGCGAATACAAATGTGCTGCGCTCGTGAATCAGTGAAATGTCGCCGTCGCCGACGGGCCCAGGCGTGGTTTCCGCGTGGTTTTGGGCCGGAGGGAGCATCCGTGACTGGAAATGTCAACTTCCTGTGCAGGTGCGGGAGGCCGGGATGGTGCGTGGTTACGGCCCGCTGAGAACTTAGTGCGCCTCCCACCTGATGCAGCCTGCGCAGAGCCGTGTCTCAAGAGTGCTGGGGAATGCAGGCGAAGGAGTCCCCGTGCCGGGCTTTGCCCAGTCCCGTGTTGGGCACTCAGTGCGTGGACAGCGCACGGCATCCGTGTTCGTCTCCCCTCTCCTTGTCAGGGACCTCTCACAGTGAGAAATCACAGCTCGTTCCGTTCGGAAATGTGTACCTGGTGTTTCCGATGAACATTCCTCCTTATTTGTCTCCTCTTCTCTAGATAAAGAAGAAGCAGCAAGATGTGGTGAGATTTCTGGAAGCCAACAAGATAGAGTTTGAGGAGGTGGATATCACAATGTCAGAAGAGCAGAGGCAATGGATGTACAAAAACGTACCCCCGGAAAAGAAGCCCGCGCAGGGCAACCCGCTGCCCCCGCAGATATTTAACGGCGACCGATACTGTGGAGTAAGTGGCCCCATGCCGCCGCGCTGTTTCTCTGGTGCTCGCAAACAGTGCCGTGGATCTCTTCCCGCAGTGTCCCTATCAGGTCCACAAGTCCGGCGGGGTTGACCCTCAGAGGGGCTGAGTGCCAGGTCCCAGAATGTGTGTGTGCGTAGTTGTGTGGTGTGTGAATGTGAGTGCATGTGCGTCTCTGGTCTTCCTCTCTCTCTGCCTTGGAAATTCGGGTAGGAAGAGAAGCTGCGTGTGTGTGTGTGTTTATGTGTATGTGTGCCATTAATTTTGAAGCGTCTGTTTTGATTAATACATTTTGGGGGGCAGAGTGGGAGGAGTAATGATTCTTGAATCTTTATCTATGATATAAATAACAGGTGATTGTAAATTAGTGAGCTGCATTTTGCAATAATGAGCCAGAGAGATCACTGTGAACTTCTGACATTTATTCGATGCCTTCCTGGTATATGCAGCCTATGAGAAGGAGTCACTGTTGTCTAATTATCTAACCACCTTCTTACTCCTTAGGTTAGGAAAATATGAACTTCTTTCTGATGAGTAAGTTAGCACTTTGTTTTTGCTATCTCTCTGAGAACATAAGTCAGGGTTTACTGGGGGACTGCAGTTCTTTAAGAACAGCCTGGAGGAAGAGAAGGGGCTGCAGTGCCGGGTGTTTGAGATGAAAGAAATAGCAGGGTTCTCATTCGGTTGGAGGGAAGGGATAAGAATGCTCTTCGTGGCTTCAAAAGAAATAGTTCTCTTCCCCTGTGTGCTGAGGCAGAATGAGAAATTAACAGATTGCTAGGATTGCTCAGACTGTCCCATGTACATTGTGAGGAGAATCCTGAACACGCCACTGACTGTAACTTGAGTTCAGGTACTCCCTTACCTTGGCTGTGACACCTTTGGAAAGCTACTGATTTCCTTAAACCTCAGTTTTATCACCTTTAACAAGAAATGGTAACATTTGTCTTTCTTCACAGAGTATTTGTGACTTTTTTAAGATTTATTTTTTATGTATTTGAAAGAGTTACAAAGAGAGGTAGAGACAGAGAGAGAGAGAGAGGGGTCTTCTGACCGCTGGTTCACTCCCCAAATGGCCGCAATGAGCCAGGAGCCAGGAGCTTCGTCCAGGTCTCCCATGTGGGTGCAGGGGCCCAAGAACTTGGGCTGTACTCCACTGCTTTCCTAGATGCATTAGCAGGGAGCTGGATTGCAAGTGGAGCAGCTTGGACTCGAACCAAACAGGATGCCACAGCACTGGCCCCAACTATTTCTAAGTATCTTCTTAAATAAATTATTACATAAAAATAAATCTTACTGCCGCCTTGCGGTGCCGGCACACTGGCTTCTAGTCCCGGTCAGGGCACTGGATTCTGTCCTGGTTGCCCCTCTTCCAGTCAGCTCTCTGCTGTGGCCAGGGAGTGCAGTGGAGGATGGCCCAAGTGCTTGGGCCCTGCACCCCATGGGAGACCAGGAAAAGCACCTGGCTCCTGCCATCGGATCAGCGCGGTGTGCAGGCCGCAGTGTGCCAGCCGTGGCGGCCATTGGAGGGTGAACCAACGGCAAAAGGAAGACCTTTCTCTCTGTCTCTCTCTCACTATCCACTCTGCCTGTCAAAAAATAGAAGAAAAAAAAATCTTACTGTTTTGGGGTAATTTTTATGTCACGATTTTGTATTTGATATTTTATTGGGAGAAGTGTGTGTGAAAACCAAGAGTGTTACTATTTATGATTACACAGGATAGAACATGCACTCTTGTGCATACAGAGCAAATTGAGGTAATAATTGGATATGTAAGCCGTACAGTTCTACATAGAGGAAAGCTATAATGCAAACAGTGCTAGAAGGATTAAACAAAAATCCAGCGGTTTTGTGTCTCTCAGTCTTTGTGGGTGTCAAAATGTCTGTGTTCTGGTTTTTAGTTGACTAGTGGTTTCTGAGTATAGGATTCTAGGTTGGAAAGAATTTTGATGGTATTGCATTGTTATCATCTAGTTTCCAGTGCTGCAGTTGAGATATTTAATGCCACTTTCCTTCATTTTTGTCAGTTTATGCTGTGCTAATTTTTTTAAAAAGATTTATTTATTTACTATGTATGTGAGATGCAGAGTTACAGAGAAAAAGAGAGAGAGATAAGGAGAGGTCTTCCATCTGCTGGTTCACTCCCCAGATGGCCTCACCAGCTGGAGCTGGGTCGATCCAAAGCCAGGAGCCAGGAGCTTCTTCTGGATCTCGCAATTGAATGCAGGGGTCCAAGCACTTGGGCCATCTTCCACTGCTTTCCCAGGCCATTAGCAGGGAGCTGGAGCAGAAGGGGAGCACCTGGGACAAGAACCAGTGCCCATCTGGGATGCCGGTGCTGCAGGCGGAAGCTTAACCTACTAGGCCACAGCGGCAGCCCCTCTTCTGTGCTAATTTTTAAGATATCTTATTCATATGTGTATTCTGAATATTTTTGATGAATTACATAGTGTGTTATTTTACATTCATTGTGCTGAGTACTCAGTATGTCCTTATAATCTAAGAAAGTGTATGATTGAATTACTAAACATGTTCTTACATTGTCTTTCAACATTTTCCTCTTTATTTTTCCCCTATTTTCTGTCTTGCATGTCTGTTAATTTGGATATTGTGTTCTTATGTTTTTTCTTATTGTTTACTTCTTTGGCTTTCTTTTCTGAGAGATTTAATTTACCTCTTAATTCTTTCGTTGAATTTTTAAAAATGTTTATTTTTATCTACTTAGAAGTCAGAGAGAAGAGATACAGAGAGATCTTCCATTCAGTGGTTCACTCCTGCAATGCTAGCAACAGCCAGACATAAGTCAAGAGCCAGAAGTTCCCACTTCATCTTCCACAGAGGTGGCAGGAACCCAAGTGCTGGAGCCACCCTCTGCTGTCTTCCTAGGTACATTAGGAGCTAAACGAGCAGTGTTAGTCCCATGGTGGGGGTGACAGCAGATGCTGGTGTACCCACTGCTAGCATAGTCTGTTCTGTTAGCAAGGTCAAAGAAATGTGACTTTGACAAAAGCATTAGACCATAGGCCTTATCCGTGCCCCCTGCCCGGTGCACCTTGCTTAACCCGGTGACAGTTTGAGTGGTCTCACCTGGTTAGTTAACCTTTAGATACCCAGCATTTTGCAGGTAATAGGATCAAGAAAGCTTGCACATTCTTTTATTTCTTAGAATTAGCAAGAAACTTATTACTTTATTTGAAAGGGATGAGCTAGGCATGTAAGACAGTAAGCAGTTGCTAGGTTACCTGGTAGGTCACCATTGTGGACATTTGCCTTCTCTCCATTTTGCACTTGACTGTCCTGCCCACCGAGAGGATTTCCCACTGAACTGAAGCTTCTTGGCATGACCAATCCATTCTTCCCACTCCAGAATTTAACACAGGAGATGAAGCAGAAACACGGGTTTGTAGCAGCAGCAGTGGGGCCAGGCACAGGTGTGGCTGCTGTCCTTATGCATCCCATCCCAGGGTGTGGCTTGGGTGTGTTCCTGGCTACCCAGACTTTGAAATTTCTTTGTTCAGAACTGGTTCTTTAGCTTTAATGTGGATTCCGTTGCTCTCCCTCTGTTGCACTATAAACTCCTTTCCTCTTAATCTTCCACAGTCCTTTTCAGTTAAAAATCCAAGCCGGCAAAACCTGGCTATTTTTGTTGATTCCCTGGTGTGTCATAAGGGAGAGTCTTCTCTGGGAAGGTGACTGATAGGGTTCTAAAAGTCAATATGCCACCTTGTAGGCTTTTCTAATTGGTTTTAATGTCTGGTTTGGGTTTAGGAAGCTAAGGTACTTATGTACAGAGTTGTTTTTTTTTTTTTTTTTTTTTTAAAGATTTATTTATTATTTAATTAGGTGGGGGGGATAAGAGAGAGCAAATCTTCTATCTGGTGGTTCACTTCCCAAATGGCGCAACGGCCAGGGTTGTGCCAGACTGAAGCTGGGAGCCAGGAGCTTCATCTGGGTCTCCCTTTGGAGTGGCTGGGACCCAAGCACTTGGGCCATCTTGTGCTGCTTTCCCAGGCACATTAGCAGAGAGCTGGATCAGAGGTGGAGCAGCCGGGACTCTATATGGGATGCAGCTTAATCCATTATGCTGGAATGCTGCTGCCAGCCTCCCGTACAGGTTTTCTTTTTCTTTTTTTTTTTAAAGATTTTATTTATTCATTTTAGAGGTAGAGTTACAGACAGTGAGAGGGAGAGACAGAGAGAAAGGTCTTCCCTCCATTTGTGCACTTCCCAAATGGCCGCAACGGCTGGAGCTGTGCCGATCCTAAGCCAGGAGCTTCTTCCAGGTCTCCCATGCAGGTGCAGGGGCCCAAGCACTTGGGCCATCTTTTACTGCTTTCCCAGGCCATAACAGAGAGCTGAATGGGAATAGGAGCAGCCAGGACTAGAACCGGCACCCATATGGGATGCCGGCACTGCAGGAGGAAGATTAACCTACTGTACCATGGAGCCAGCCTCCCCCCCCCAATACAGGTTTTCAATCTTTGTTCTCTCTCTGTGGAATCGACATGCATAGAGTGCACCAGAAACGAAAATTGTTATTATCTACTTAAAAGGAAAATATCTATTCTCCTTTCATGTCTTTTTTCCCTCCATATTCAGCAAACAGATGGTTGCTGCTTTATATATTTTCTTTTTGTTAAAAGATTTTTTTTCAGTATAAACATTTTATTTTTTATTTATTTATTAGGTATTCACAAGAGAGAGACAGACAAACAGCGCTCCCATCCTTTGGCTCACTTATCCAGTGCCTGCAGTGTCTGGGACTTAGCCAGGTTAAAGCTGGGACCCAGGCACTTGAGCCACCACCTGCTGCCTCCCAGGATCTGCGCTGGCAGGAAGTTGAAATCATGGGTGCAAACTGGGTTTTGAACTCGAGTTCCAGCACTCTAATATGGGACACAGGCATCTTTAACTGCTAGATCAAAGGCCTGCCTCTATTTTTGTCATTTTATTTTTTATTAAAAGCATTTTTACTCTGGTAAAAAAC